TCCCAGCTACTTGGGAGGCTGAGGTGGGAGGACTGCCTGAGCCTGAGAGGTGGAGGTTGCAGTGAGCCGAGATTACACTGCTGCATTCCAGCCTAGGCGACAGAGTGAGACCTTGTCTCAAAAAAAAAAAAAAAAAGCTAGTTAACAAAAGCCAGGCCCAGATGGCTTCACAGGCACTTGAAGAATTAATACTAGTATACTAGTTCTTCACAAACTCTTTCAAGAAACCAGAAAAAGAAGAAAAATGACAGCTAACTGTATGAGGCCAGTATTAATTAACCTGATACCCAAACCAGAAAACTGTATCACCAAAAAACTACAGACTATTATCTTTTACGAATAGAGATGCAAAAATTCTCAACAAAATACCAGCACAACGAATCTAATATATAAAAATAACTACACACTGTGACCAAACAGGATATATCCCAGGGATGCAAGGGTGGTTTATAGCCAAATAAAATAATGTAACATACTGTAACAACAGAATTAAAGACAAAAGCCACATGATCACCTCAACAGAGGGAGAAAAAGCATTTGACAAAATCCAACACCATTTTAAGATAAAACATTTAATAAAACAGGACTAGAAAGGGAACTTCCTCAATTCAATCAAGGGCACCTATGAAAAACCCACAGCTGACATCATACAAATGGTAAAGACTGGTGCTTTCCCTGTAAGATGAGAAAGAAGACGAGGACATCCATTTTCACACTTCTATTCAATACTGTATTGGAGGTTCTAACCAGGGCAATTAGGTAAGAAAAAGAAATAAAATGCAACTAGATTGAAAAGGAAAAAGCAAAACTAACTCTATTTGCAGATGACTGATGTTGTACAAAGAAACCCCTAAGAAATTCCCTAAAAGCTATTAGAACTAATAAACATTATTTTATGTTTTTATTTTTTTAGAGACAGGGTCTTGCTCTGTCACGCATGCTGCAGTGCAGTGGTATGATCATAGCTCTCTGCAGCCTCAACCTCGTAGGCTTAAGCCATCTTACCTCAGCCTCCTGCATAGTGGGGACTATAGGCAATTGCCGCCACACCTGGCTAACTTGTTTCTTTTGTACAGAGAGGGTCTCACTATGTTGTCCATGCTGGTCTCAAACTCCTGGGCTCAAGTGATCCTCCCACCTCTACCTCCTAAAGTGTTAGGATTACAGATATGAGCCTCAATGTCCAGTCATAGTTTAAATATTATTAAAACTATTAAACAGTAAAAATGAATAGTTCAGTGAGGTTGTAGGATATAATATCAATATATTGGCTGAGCACAGTGGCTCACAGCTGTAATCCCAACACTTTGGGAAGCTGAGGCAGGAGGACTGCTTGAGCCCAGGAGTTTGAGACCAGCCTAGGCAACATGATGAAACCCTATCTCTACAAAAAATACCAAAAGTAGCTGAGCATAGTGGCACATGCCTGTAGTTCCAGCTACTAGGGAGATTGAGGCAGGAGGATTTACCTGAGCCCAGGAGGTTAGAGGCTGCAGTGAGTCATGATGGTACCACTGCACTCCAATCTGGGTAACAGAATAAGACCCTACTTGAAAAAAAACAAATGGTATTTTTAAACACATGCCAAAAAAAAAAAAAAAAAAATCCAAAAACACTAAGAAAACAATTCCATTTATAAGAGTAACAGAAATAAAATACTTATAAATAATTTTAACAACACTAAAGAACAGAGTTTATATTCTGAAAACTACAAAACATTTGAAAGAAATTAAAGGAGATCTCAGTAAACGAAAAGACATCCCATATTCATGGATTACAACACTTAATATTGTAAAGATGTCAATACTCACCAAATTGATCTAGAAATCGAACACAATCCTATCAGAATACCAGCTGGCTTCTTTGGAGAAACTGATAAGCTGCTCCTAAACTCACATTGAAATCCAAGGAGCACAGAATAACCAAAACAATCTTGAAAAAGAGGAATAAAGTTGAAGTGCTCGAATTTCCTGATTTCAAAGTTTAGTAACAAAGCTACAGTACAAACTGGTATAAAAACAGATATACAGAACAGTGGAATAGAATTGAGAGTAAACCTACATGGCTATGGTTAACTAACTTTCAACAAAGATGCCAAGGTCCTTCAATGGGGGAAAAACAGTCTCATATCTTTTTCAAATGGTGATGGAACAACTTAATATCTAGATGCAAAAAATAAAGTTAGACCCTTAACTTATACCATATAAATAAATAAACTCAAATGGAACAAAGACCTAACTGTAAAAGCTAAAACCATAAAATTCTTAGAAGAAAACATACGGGCAAATCTTTGTGACTTGGGATTTATCAATAAATTCTTAGTTATGACACCCAAAGAATAAGCAATGAAAGAAAAATAAATTGGACTTTATGAAAATTAAACTATTGTGCTACAAAGGATACATCAAGAAGGTGAAAAAACCCACAGAATGGGAGAAAATATTTGCAAATCATATCAAATATGGGACTTGTATATAGGATAAAGAACTCTAATAAATCAAAAAGACAACACAATTTAAAAATGCACAAAGAACTTGAATAGACATTTCTCCAAAGATACAAAAATGGCCAATCAGCCCATGAAAAGATGCCATTAGTCATCAGGGCTATGCAAATCAAAACCACAATGATACCACTTCTCACCCGCTAGGATGACTAGATCAAAAAGTCAGAAAATAAGTGTTGGTGAGTATGTGAAAAAATCGGAACCCTTACAGATTGCTGGTGGAAATGTAAAATAGTGCAGTCACTTTGGAAAATAGTCTGGCAGTTCCCCCAACAAGTTAAAGTATTACTATTTGATACAGACATTTCAGTCCTAGTTATATACTCAAGAGAAATGAAAACATATGTCCACATAAAAACTTGCACAATGTTTCTAAGAGCATTATTCATAATAGCTAAAAGGTGGAAACAACCCAAATGCTCAAAAAGATGAATGGATAAACAAAATGTGGCATATCTATCTATACAATGGAATAATATGAAGCCATATGAAGGAATGAAGCTGTAATTCACGCTACAATGTGGTTGAACCCCGAAAACATCATGCTTAGTGAAAGAAGCCAATCACTGAAGACCACGTGTTATGTGATTCTGTTTATAGAAGTGTCTAGAATAAGCAAATAGAGAGAGATTAGTAGCTGTCTAAGGCTATATGAGGACAAGAGGTTGGGGGCTCATAGCTAAAGGGTTTCTTTTTGAGGTGATGAAAATATTCTGTACTTGACTGGTTGATGACTGCAAAATTCTGTGAATACATAAAAAACTGATGAATTGGTTTTTCCATTTGTTTGAGACAGGGTCTTGCTCTGTCCCCCAGGCTGGACTGCAGTGGTGCAATCATAACTTACTGTAAACGTAAAATCTTGAACTCCTGGCCTTAAGCGATCCTCCTGCTTTGGCCTCCCAGTGCTGGGATTATAGGCATGAGCCACTGCACCCAGCCCAAAGACTACCGAATTGTATACCTTGAATGGGTGAATTGTACAGTATGTGATTATATCTCAGTAAAGCTGTTATCAAAGATAACGATAATAATTAGAAGCTTTCCATTCATAGTCTGGAGTTCTAAAAACAATACAGTATTTAAACTGTATTCAAATTAGCTCTGTAAACCAATAACTTCTGATGCCTTCCAAATATCTTTTATCATCCTTCCAAACCCCTCTATGATTATGAGCTGCTATGGTGTTTTTTTTCTTTTTTTTTAACTTCTTTTAGGATCAATTTTGAGTTTACATTTTGCTAACTATCACTTCCCCTGGATTTTCCAACTTTTATTAATTATATATAGTTTCCATCCTCTGCAATCTTCTCTCTAACCCCTACTAGTTCCCAGCACAAGAATCTGTTCTTGGCAAGTTCCCTAAAGCTTCTCTGTTCCCAAAGCCAACTGACAATTTCCTTATCTTCCGAGACCTCTTGGTGGCATTTCCCAATCCTGAGTCTCTGCAACTACCCAAGCCAGAGAGACTCCTGACTCTGTCCACTGTTCAGAATCATCACACTGAAAAAGACTAGAGAGGCATTGTGATGAGCATGGAAAAAGGTGGAGAAATGCTGCTTCCCACGCTCACCTTGGATGCTAACATCTACTCATAAACCCCATCACTCTTCTTGGGGGTGAAGACAGCCAAGCCTCTTTTGGCCCAGACCTGGTCCTGGGCCTCTTGGCTCTCCCCTGATAGACAGCCCCTTTACCCCCGCCTCCAACCCAGCATGCCATCCATTCAAACAAAAGACACCTACTCTGGCTTGTGTGCTAGGCATTGAGGCTACACTGGAATATGAGAATAATTTGCTCATTTTCTTGCCATATGTTCTCCTTGCCCCGCAACATACTTCCCCACTACTCCCTTGTCCGCAACAATCTCGGCAGCACCACTGTCCTCCCGGTTCCCCAAGTCAGAAACCAGAGTCACCACAGGCTCCTGGTCACGCCCACATGCTGACCTCCTGCTCCTTTCCTTCAACTGCTCTCCTCTCCTTCACTCCCAAGGTGAGGTCTCTTCTCATCTGGAGACTGCAGCAGCTCCTCCTTGGCCCCCACCACCCCACCCAGGTGCAGGCCTGAAGTCTCTAGTTCAATACCAACTCTAATCCTGTTAATCCCACACTTGAAACTTCACTGGTTACAGGAAAAAGCCCAGGCCTCTCAGTGCAGCTCTTTTAAGCCTCAAGCCCAACTCCCTCCTCCAGTGACACTTACACTGTATCACCTCCATTTGGTTTCTGAACCTAATCTGGCGCTAGCCCCTATGCACACGGAGGTCCCCACATCCCACAGAATACATCACCTTCTACCAGGAAGAGTCCCCATCTCCCACCCCTCTCTCTGTAGCTGCGCTGCCTGTACTGGGCTAGAAATGTCCACATCCACCTGCTCCTGCCTCCACTGCAGTCCCTCATGGGCAGGCAGAGGCTCTAACTGCACAACCTCCTCAGAGGTCTCACTCAATCTACCCACAGGGCAGAGGGAGAGCACTGTGGCCACTCACCCTGCGGTTCCGGTTATGATCCATGGTCTTCAGGTGCTTCTGGATGATGCCAAACTGCATGGGAATGAAGAGGTCGCAGGCTGCACAATGGGCTGCCTCCACCTTCTTCACAAAATGCTCCATGGCAATTTCTGTAGTGGGAAGAAGGGAGTCACCACTGGGCCCAGGTGCCTAAGACAGATCCAGATGTTTGAGAAAAAAAAACCACACCAGCTCCTCCTCAACTCGCCCTGCCACTTCCACCTGGGCCTGAGCTGAGGCTGTTCTCCTGACCTTCCCTGGGGGAAGAGAAGGGACACCCTTCTCTGACCCTGTACAGAGAATCAGGAGGGCGGGCTGAGGCCTTGCCTGGTGGGAGTGGGCTAGAATCTCCTCACCCTGGGTCAGATCCTGGTCTCTGTAGATTTGCTGGATGAGGCCATCAAGGTCCTCCACAGTTTTTCGGAGCTCCTCTGTCTTCTTGGTCTTGTTGGTGACGTACTCCTGCAAGGAATACAGAGGTTTGTGTGGGCCGCCTTCTGTTCTCAGGGGTCCAAGAAACTAAGAGCGGCTGTTACTCCAAGGCTCACCTGCAGAAAGTCGGCTGTCTGCTTAGGGAGCTTGGTGCCTACATACTTAAAATGTTCCTTGTGGAACTTGCTGTCTAGGTGGCTGGACATCTCATCCTCATAGAAGGTCCGGTATTTGCAGAGAGAACACACAAACTGGATCCTGCCACAGGAAGGAAACAAGGGGCTGAGGCTGCAAGTGTCCCAGAGGACACTGATGCCGCCTCACCCAACCCAGACACAAGCCCTGAAATAGGCCTTGCTCACGGGCTTCTGAAGTACCGTCCCAGCAGAGGGACAGGCTGGGACCAGTGGGGTTGGGAGTAGAAAGGGCCAGAAAGTCTGCAGTCTGCAGATACTGCCACGTAGGGGACAGGGGAGGAGCTCTTCCTTCCCACAGGCAGGAGGCTGAAGCCTGAGACAGCAGCTGCTGCAACAGGCAACGAGTCGCTGGAAGGTTGATGGAGGGCCTCGCTACCAAGGCTGGGCGGGAGCGTGTGCACTTGGCCCAGGTGGGGACCAGAAGGAAGTACGCCCTGGCATGAGCCAGGTGGCACTGAGGTGCAGAGTGGAGTACGCAGTCCTGAGGCAGGGCCCGAAAAGGTGCTGCATCGTCCTTCTGGGATCTGGGGGACTCAAAGGCCCAGCCCATCCTCTGCTCAGAATGCTTGGGGGTGGTGTCGGGAGGGATGGGAGGCAGGCAGGCCTGGGCACCTGCTGCCTCATCTTCCTCTTCCAAGAAGAGACCAGTCTGAGCTGGAAGGAGGGCGCCCGCCTGGCCTGCCAGAGGGCAGCCTGGAGTCACCTGGGCGAGGTGCTCTGTCTGGGCCTGGTGTCCACAGCAGAAGCCCGGGGTCTGGGGCCTGGGCCGGAGCAGGCCGCCGTGGCAAGGGGCGGAGGAGGCCAGCCGCCACCGAGACCTCGGGGCGGGTCCCTACCTCTGCCGGACGTCCTTATCTGGGCCACGGGGTCAGCTTTGTCTGGAGAGCCCAGGGGCCGGGCGCCGGCGAGGCTGAGGAAGGTCCAGCAAGAGCAAGAGTCTGAGGCGGAGGAGGCAAGCGCCAGTGCGGGAGCCCTGAGGGCAGACAGACCCAACCAAGGGGCGTGAAGGGCTCAGCCGAAGACAGGCCCGGCCTGACAGGGCCGGCGGGCAGGCCCGAGGCTGCCACAGCCCACAGGTGCTGCCATCTCTCCTGGGCACGGCGGCAGCCTCTTGGCAGCTAGCTGGGGTGGCAAAGGCGCCTTGGACCTTGAGTCTCTGATGAGCTGGCCCCCTCCCTCAGGGGCATCAGGCCCCCAGTGCACCTTGGGGTTCGTGCGCCGAGTGACCTAGCGCCGGAGCTTCGGAGCAACGGTGCCGAGCAGTGTCGGGTCTCGGGCCACAGATGCCAGCGGTCGCCAGGCGGCCGCAGAGGGGCAGGGGATGAGTCAGGCCTTGGGAGCTGGGCCTGGCGGGAAGCAGGGTCCATGCACGGCTGAGCAGGTGGTGGCTCCCAAGGGAGGCCAGAGGGCGGCGAGCTGGCAGAGCTATGGCCCTGCTCTGCTGGCAGCAGCCCCACAGCGAGGCAGAGGCAGAGGGGTGGAGGGAAGCTGGTTACCTTTCCACCATTCGGTCTCGCTGCCGCTTTTTCTGCTTGTCCTGACTCTTCTTGCCTGCCTGCAACTTGCGCTTGGTCTGGCCGTTCTCATCCTGGGTGCTCAGGGCCCCTGTGGGAGCAGATGGGCACTGTCACCAGTTTGGCTCTACCAGTACAGGGCAGGCCCTATGATCTCTGGCTAAAACACCCACTGTCCACTCCAGAGGGTCCATCGAGAACAGGTGTCCAAGCAAGGCCCCTGGCCATGAGCAGGGCTGGGTATCCTGGGTTGGGCAGGGAGTGGGTTTGACCTAGGCCCCAAGGAGTGGGAGCCAGGTGCTGACCCCTCCACTCTCCAGGACACCCATGCTCTCTGTGCAGTAGGCCAAGAGGACGCTGGAAAGCAAAGAGGGGCTATCTTGGTGGGGACACTGGCACATGTTCAGAGGGGCCAGGTGGTGGGATGCAGGGAGGCTGCTCACATGGCCCTGCCCACCCCCCACCGGGCACCGCGGCAACAGTGGGCTGAGGCTGGATTTGCTGTTAGGTACCTGCTGGCGCTCATCACTCAGGTGGGGGGACACGGACTCCCAACAGGGGCTGGAGAGGCGCTAAGGGAGAGGACACGCACACCAGAGCCGTAAAAACTGCACCGAGGGTCCCAGCTCGGACACCAGCCACTGAGGACTCGGAACTGCACATTACTGAGGGACTGAGGGCAGGGGGTGTGCCTGGGGTTCCCCACACTTTTACTCACTGCCCCCATCTGAGGGCAAAACCAGTGTGCTTGGCAGGGGTCACCACCATACACAGCCTCCACCAGGGAAGAAGGAGGCAGGGTGGGAAGGGGAAGGAGGTGGCAAAAGAAAGCCCCCTGCCAGTACACACCTGGGGCCACAAGGGAGGTCCCCAGCTGGTCGCATATCTGCCACAACCCTGCCCTCAGCTGGGTCCCACCCGCTGTGACCCCTGGAAGAGCCACCCCAGCACCAGGCACCCCAGGAAAACTCACCCTTCTCTGGATCCTCTTTTCCTTCTTCTCTCCCATCCTCTTTTCCCTCCTCGTCCTCTCCATCCTAACAATTTCAAATTCCAACTTTAAAACAGGTGCCTTTCTTTTTTTTTAAAAAAAAATCCAAGCTTATTAGAGCAACAGTATATAGCAAAATGGCTGCTTGCTCCACAGACAGAGCAGGGCTATCCCATAGGCAGAGTGGCTCAGAGTAGCCCAGTTACTTAGAATGGCTGTAAATGACAAGGTTCAGCTACGTGCCAGGAACCTCACATCCTCCCACTACCTGGTGCACAGGGGGCTTGTCCCATTTTCCAACAAGGAAACTGTGCTTCCAGCTTGGCAGCCTGTGCTTTCTGCCAGACCACACTGCCTCCCCATGCTGGTCACCGTGCACACGGAGCTGACACAGCACTGCCTCTGGCCCCCAGGGAGAGCACCACTCTTCGGCCCAGCTTGCCCTTCCTGCAGACAGAAAATGCCCAGCCAGGGCCACTTACCACTCTGGAGCCCTTCTCCACAGCCTCGGTCCCTTCAGGTCCCTCTGTGGCTTCCCCCTCAGTGCCCTCATCTGAAAGGGAAGAGGTAAGCTCAGCTCAGGAGCCCCTGGGAGGCATGGGGCAGCTGCCCAGTACCATCTCTCTAGCTCACCATTGTCTGAATCGCTGTTGTCCGAGCAGTCCGTGCGGGTGGCTTTGCTATCTGGCTCATCAGGACTGCCGCCCTGCTTTCTCTTCTTCTTCTTGGTCTGGGCAATAAGAGGGGAAGCCGTGTCAGGGAGCATGCATGGTTCCTGGCCCTTAGCTCCGCCCCAGCAGGAACTAAGCTTCCCAGAGGGGAAGGCCGCCTCCACTCACCCGGAAGTCTGCTGTGGTCCAGGTCTTCCAGGTCCGCCTCATCTGTTTCATGCCATTGCCAAACCCAAAGCCAAAGCGGGAGCCGCCTGGGAAGGCGCCCCCACCTCGCATTCCCTGGAACATGCCGTACTCGGGGATGATGTTCTGGGAGAAGAGGGAGGGCAGCCGAGAGGCACCAGACATGCACTGGCCCCGGGACCCCATGGGGTCTTCCCACATGCGCCCATAGCCCGAGGCCATCGGCCGGCCGCTCCGGGCATCCCGGGCCCAGCCCTGCGCCCTGGGACCAAAGGTGTCGCTGCCACGCATGCGGAACTGGTCACGGTAGGCGTCGTATTGGCCCTCATAGGCCATTTCCATCTCAGGGTCAAGCTCGCTGTAGTCATAGCCTGACCGATACAGGTCACGCTCACTCAGGACGGCCCTTGAGTCACAGGCCTCATAGGATTCATACCTGCAAAGGCATGGGGCGAGCATCAGGTGGAGCCCCTCAGGGTCCCTCACCTCCAGGCGACTCCTCCTGCCCTCCCCACAATCTCCCAGTCCAGCATCCACCCTGTCCTGGTGGGGAGGCTCAATGTTCAGAAAATCCAATTAAAAAGTTCCAGCCTCTTAGCTTATCTAGGGGCACCACTGCCCCAAGCTTGAATGTAGCCACACACTGGCTTGGGGACCCTAAGAAGGACTGAAAACTGGGGTGGAGGCTCTAGTCCGTGAGTCTCAACAAGGGGGAGAGCTGCTCCACAGCCCTTGGGAACATGTGCACCACCTGTGGGAGCCGCAGTGCTGGAGGCTGCTCCCAGTGAGGCAGGGCGGAGCACCTCAGCACCCTTCAGGACACAGGCAGCTCTAGCACAATGAATGTGCAGCCAACGAGGCTGATGATGCCCATGGGAAACACTGTGTTCTTGTCCCTCATGACTGGGGAACCTTCAAACCCTGCAAAGTCCCTCATTACCAAAATAACTAAGACAAAAGGGTGAGTATTTCCCAGGAAGGACACTAAGATCTTGCCCAGGAACAAGAAAAAGAGCTGTATTACATCAAGCCTGGAGCCCAGAGCTAGACACCAAACGCTATATACCCTGTATTGCAACTGGGAAGGCAGGCCAGACCTCCTCCCAGGAAACAGAGGGCACTTAGAGAGCTTTCAACCATGACTGCAGCCCACAGCCCACACCCCCACAGGCCTGGAACGCACACCCCTCACAAGCACAAGGGCTCCCCTTACACTCTCTTTCCTAAACCCAGGCCACCAGGAGCCACCAGCAGCTGTAAGAGCAGCAGTTGGTGCTGCCACCACTCTGCTTACCCCGATCCCCGGCTCCAGGCTGTGGCAAGAAGGTGCATAGCAGCAACACAAGCCCAAGCCCCATACACCAAGCTCCAAGTGCTGCAGCTGTTGGGCCAGGAGTTACAGAGCCCATGGCATCAAGTCCCCTTGTGCCTGTCCCATGCCCTGACACTACAGCCCTGGGGCCTCATTTGGCCCCACCAGTGCCTAGTCAGGTGACTCCCGACTCTCAGCTTTCACTCATCTGTTAGTTGAAGCTTCACTCTATCCCCTGCTACAGATATACCCGCCCTCCTCACCGAAGCCTCGCACTGGGCACAAGCACTCCTGGGCCAAGTCCAGTTCAGTTAATGACAAATGCCCACAGCATGATGCTTTGGATTAGGGCAGATCTGGTGCGTGAGGCCCAGCCCCACCATGTACTTGCTGCATGCCTTTGGGGTATGACCTGCCTGCACTTCTGTTTCCCCACCTGCAAAATGAGGACAGCAGCAGTTCCTCACAGGGGTGCTTCCATCAGGCACACATTTGTAAAGCGCAGGAGAGAAACCAGGAATTGCCCACACCAGCCCCAGCCCTCACGTGGGGGTGGCCCAGCTTGCAGTGATCAGCCCCAAAGGTTGGTCCCACCCTTCACACCAAACTCCATCTGTTCTGCCCTGACACTGCACAGGAGGCAAAGTCTTGAGAAAATTCCAAATGGCTGTCCTTGGAGGGAGGGGAGTCTGAACACTTGGTTTTTGAGGGCACAGTGAAGTCAGCCCGATCTGGGCTTGTTCCTCCCACTCCAAGCTGGGGAAAGGCTGACCACCAGGCAGTGTGGCAGGGGTTAAGGATGGGTGAGAGGAGACACAAGTCAGAGACGGGAAATGCAACAGACCCTGCTGGGAGCCACAGCAGCACCAAGTAGGGGGAGGAAGCAGACACAGAGGCACACTGAGAAAGGAAGAGGCAGCAGGCAGCAGACAGGAGCCGCCCCTGCAGAGCCTCAGCCCCTAGGCAGGGGTTCCACTCACCTTTCTCCACCTGAGCTGTACACGCCTCCTTGCATCATGTCTGTCTCCAAATGCGGCACCATATCTAAGCGCTGATTAATTCTGGATAAAACGGAATCGGCACTGGCGCTACCCGAGGCACTAGTGTTTGCATTTGTGTCAGAGCTAGGCATTTCCCAAGAGTGTGAAGTGGCCATACCATACCCATAGTTGGTGGTGTTATCCTGGCCATAGCCATAGCCATAGCCATAGCCCTCGTAGCCTGCAGTGAGGGAGACAAAGACGGACAGATGGTGGGGGCAGGCAGAGGGGAGGCAGACAGAGACAAACACAGGTACAAGGGCACCTTCTATCACAGAGACAGGAGACCCTAGCCACTGAGGCTGGATGGGCCCTTGCCATTCTTTTTTTTTTTTTTTTTTTAAAGATGGGGTTTCACCATGATGGCCTGGCTGGTTTTGAACTCCTGACCTAGGTGATCCACCCACCTCAGCCTCCCAAAGTGCTAGGATTACAGGCGTGAGCCACTGCGCCCAGCTCTGGCCCTTGCCATTCTGATTAGGGCTTCCTGTTAAGGAGCAGGTAACCCCAGAAACACGCCCCCCCCCCACTCCCAACCTCGGCCAAGTAGGGCAGCAGCAGAGAAACAGCCAGAACAACCCCAAAGGATAGACAGTGATCAAAGGAATGATACTTGCCTCTGTTTGTCCCAGAGTTCCAAGTTCCATATCCTACAAAAAGTAAAAGGGCAATTACGTCTATACTTGCTTACAATACAAGAGCTTAATTCAGGCACAAAGACAATTATTCCCAGGATGTGACTGGTCAGAGCAGGCTGCACCTCCCCTAACTGAGAAGCCTTGAGCTGGTGAGCACTGTGCAAATGACCCAGACTACTTGCTGCCCTAGTGCCTGGCTGCCTGTGGCTCTGAGCATCTGTTATTTAAGGAGCCTCCTGTTCCCAACAGTCTCAACTAAGGAACTTGGCTGCTATATTCCTCGATTAAAGGGCCAGAAATAGAAGATGACCTCCATGACCCAGGCTAAGCGCTAATCAGTTTACAGCAGAAAACCCAAATCCCAGTCCCCCAAGACTCTGCCTTAAAAGGGAGGGCCAACAAGCCCTTGAATTGTAAACTGTGCTGTGCTGGAACATATCAGTGGGAGAAGCCCAAGAGGCAATCCCTTGCCTTAGAAAAGCTGTGGAGAGAATGATCTGGATTATAAACTTAATATGCTCTGGATTCAATCACAACACACAATAAAACTTCATTCCTTCAGGAACATAAAGCCACTGAGAACTGACACAGTGTAAAGTCCCCTGGGAACTCTGAGTCAAACACACAGTTCCCCAAAGGAGGGCACAGAGCAGGTGACCCATTTCCCTGGGTCTCTAGTGAGACCCAATAGTTGCTTCCAATTCCATGTCATCTCTGCCCTGCAGACAGAGGACATGCTTATCCCCAGGGCAGGGGACCAAAGCTCAGTGAGACAGACAGCAGGACAATGAATGCCAGAAGCCAGGCCAGAGCAGGACGTGTGTAAGTCAACTGAAAAGAAGAGAAAGAGGGAACAAGCAGGCTGTTGTCTTGCACTCGGGTTCCTTCATGACCCAGTGCACAAACAGAATGGGAAGAAGTTGGAGAGAAGCTGAGGAACTGCTGATGACCACTATGTTTAACAAGAGAGCTCACAAAACAAAAACTCTTGGGCTGGAGAAACCAAAACAGAGGCTTCTCATCTAATTGTTGATGCATCTCCTGAGCACAGGAACAGAGGCTTGCAGTCCTAGGCACTGCTCAGGCACGGAGATCTGCTTGTTGGTAAGGGAGACACTAATAGCCAGAGAGCAGCATGGGCCAGCCAGGAGTGGTGGCTGAGGAAAGAGTGGCTAAGGAGCCATTCTGACAGGCAAGAGAGGCTGGCAGAGCCACATAAAGAGCAATGCATAAGACTGGGCACAGTGGCCCACGCCTGTAATCCTAGCACTTTGGGAGGCCAAGGTGGGCGGATCACCTGAGATCAGGATTATGAAACCAGCCTGGCTGATATGGTGAAACCCCATTTCTATCAAAAACACAAAAGTTAGCTGGGCGTGGTGGTGCACACCTGTAGTCTCAGCTATTCAGGAGGCTGAGGCACAGGAATTGCTTGAACCCTTGGCCAGGCACAGTGGCTCACACCTGTAATCCCAGCACTTTGGAAGGCAGAGGCGGGTGGATCACGAGGTCAGGAGATCGAGATCATCCTGGCCAACATGGTGAAACCCCGTTTCTACTAAAAATACAAAAAAATTTAGCTGGCGTGAAGGCGCATGCTTGTAGTCCCAGCTACTTGGGAGGCTGAGGCAGGAGGATTGCTTGAACCCGGGGGGCGGAGATTGCAGTGAACTCAGTTCAAGCCACTGCATTCCGGCCTGGGCGACAGAGCAAGACTCCATTAAAAAAAAAAAAAAAGAAAGAACAACATACGGGTAGCCCAGGCAGCTACTGTACACCTGGCCACATGACTGTTTGTACCAGGGACGGTGGGCAACTAGCTATTCTAAAGAAAACAGCATACAGAGGCAAAGGCAGATCCATCAGGGCTGTTTGTGAGGCTACTACATGGTCACCACGGGCTTCACCTGCTGAGGATCTGCCAGAACAGAGTGAGGAGGCACAAGGAAAGGAGGCAGGCATCAACTCTGTGAATAACACTTTAAGTTTTAAAGACAGGCAGGGCCTCCCACGATGGCCAACCCTCAGGAGTCCCTACAGGAAAACACTCACTATGTGCCACTTGCTATGCCTGGAGCAACCCAGACTCCTCGATGGGACACCCCAGCTGGATCCCTTCAGAAGGAAGCCTTCATCTAGACTGGTGTTTAGGGACTCCCCAAGACCTGCTCTTTCTGAAAGAACACCTCAATTCATTTCCATCCCCAGAAGAGATGAGATCATGATTAACAAAGAAAATTTTAACGATATATCTATATATACACATATCCTTAAAGATACATATATATACATATATTTTGAGACAAGGTACTCTGTCTCCCATGCTGGAGTGTTGTGGTGTGATCACAGCTCACTGCAGCCTTGACTTCCCGGGTTCAAGTGACCTTTCTGCCTCAGCCTCTGGAGTGGCTGGGACTACAGCCACTTTGTTCTGGCAGCATTACCATCCCTGGCTAATTTTTTCTATTTTTTGTAGAGATAGGGTTGTACTGTGTTGCCCAGGCTGGTCTCAAACTCCTGGGGGCTCAAGCGATCCTCCCATCTCAGGCTCTCAGAGTGTTGGGATTATAGGCGTGAGCCACCGCACCTGGCCAAGGACATAATTTTTAAAAGAAAAAAGAACACTGGTCACAGTAAGTGATATTTATGGACCGAAAATAGAAAACCATTCAATATTCAACTTTAAGGTAATAGTTGATCAGATTATAGCCTACCTACTCAGTGACATATCAGGTAAGCATAAAAAAAGAATTTACTATGCCTTATATAGTACAAGGAAATGCTTCTAACATAAAGTAAAGGAGGACCAGCTGGGTGCAGTGGCTCACACCTATAATCCTACCACTTTGGGAGGTGGAGCACGCAAGGCAGATCACTTGAGCCCAGGAGGTTGAGACCAGCCGGGGGAACACTGTGAAACCCTATCTCTACAAAAAATACAAAAATTAGCTGGGTGTGGTAGGGCATGCCTATAGTCCCAATTACTCAGGAGGCTGAGGTGGGAGGGCCGCCTGTGCCTGGGAGGTGGAGGTTGCAGTGAGCTGAAATCGCGCCACTGTGCTCCAGCAGGCAACTGAGTGAGACCATATGTTTAAAAAAAACCAACAAAATAAAGCAGGACTCACAATTCTATCCACCTATAAATTATTAAACTACATGTAATTAGTAAGCTGATAAAAATTAAATATTAACATGGCAGGGTCTTGGTTGACTGTTTTTCAAAATGTTATTAAATGTTATATTGTTTTGGCAATTCAAGCCAGAAGGAAATATAAATCCATTTCTATTCTTTCACAACAATTGTGTATGTAAAAAAATCAAAAACAAATCTACAAAACAGCTACTAGAATAAGTGAGCTTAGCAAGGTTTATTACAAGGTCAGTCTATATATCAAATTTCAAATATTACAAGGTAAACCTACAAATCAAATAGTGATCAAATTTCTAAATAGCAATGAATTGGAAATTTTTAAAAGTACTATAGTACTAAAAGCATTAAAAACTTAAGTGTAAATCTAACAAAACATGTGTAGGATATGTGTTGAAAACTACAAAACACTAATAAGTCAAAGGCCCACATCAGTGAAGTGGCATACTGTGTTCATGAATCAGAAGACTTGATGTTGTTAAGATTCAATTTTCTCAAACTAATCTCAAACTGTTCTATAGATTCTATAGATTTGATAGATCTATAGACTCAAGCCTCTCTCACTCAAAATCTCAGGAGAAATTTTTTTAAAACTTGATAAACAGATTCTAAAATTTATATGTAAAAGCAAAGAAATTAACAATATTGGAAAAAAGAACAAACCTGGAGGACTCACATTTCAAGATTACTACTATTCAGTAATCAAGACTGTAATTCTGGGCCGGGTATGGTGGCTCATGCCTGTAATCCCAGGACTTTGGGAGGCCAAGGCAGGAGGATCACGTGAGGTCAGGAGTTTTGAGACCAGTCTGGCCAACATGGTGAAACCAGTCTCTACTAAAAATACAAAAAGACTGTTTCTGAAGAAAGTTTAGATGTCTAGACCAATGGAACAGAATGAGAGTCCAAGAGTCCGGAAACAGACCCACAATATGTGGTCAATAGGTTTTCAGTAAAGGTAGGAAGGCAATCCAATGAAGAAAAAAATGTTTTTTTCAACAAATGGTGCTGAAACAATTGCATATCTATATGTAACAGAAGAAGAAACCTTAACCTATACTGCACACCTTTTAAAAAAATTAACTCAATATGGATCACAGACTAAACATAAAACCCACAATGAAAACACCTAAAAGAAAATTAAAAAGAATATCTTATACATTTCTTAGATATAAAACCAAAAATCATGATCTATTAAAGAAAAGATTGAATTGGGCTTCAAAATTAACAACTTGTGTTCTTTCAAAGACACTGACAGAAAGTAAATAGACAAGCCATAGTCCGGGAGAAAATATTTGCAAATGGCACATCCGAGAAATGGCCTGTACCCAGAATATGTAACCCAGAGGGAAAAAAGAATTCAAAAAGATGTGCAGTTAGGGACTACATTTGATGAAAATGAAGAGGCAGGGAGGGCAGGGCAGGGAAGCCAAGCAAACCAAGTTTTTCCTCATTTATGAAATACCTGATACCTTCTCACCCAATTTCAAAACATATTAAGTCTTCCCTGTTCCTGGGACTAGCAGCTGATACTTGGGGAGCTTACTTAAGTCCCTTTATGTAGTGACCCCTGAGGGCATGCTAGCTGTGCAGGGATCAGTCTTTCCCCAGACCTTGGTAGTAAATGAAATTACCCATCTCAGTAACTAGAACATTATCCCTATTAATTCCAAAGAGAGTTCCTTCTCAGCAGATACCCCTAGAGTCACAGACAAGCAAAGACCAGCTTTATCAGCAGTTCTAGGCTGCCACAGCACACAAAACAGCATCTGTGAATCCTGTTGGTGGCTACTTCTGAATTAGGAAATTGAGTATTTCTGTCCACACTTGAAAACTCAATCAGAGATCTTCACTCAACTGTGTGTATGTGAAGCCTGCTGGCTTGAGGTGGCCTGGCTAAGCCTCCGAAAGCTGCTAGATTCACACACTCTTCTTTCTCCCACAACAAGGAAACGCACACTAAGCTGGGACTAAGTTAATTGCTTACTTTCTCCTGGACCAATCCTGTGGACTTTGTTTTTTGAGACAAGAGTCTTGCTCTATTGCCAGGCTGGAGTGCAGTGGGGCAATCTCGGCTCACTGCAACCTCTGCCTCCCGGGTTCATGCGATTCTTCTGCCTCAGCCTCCCAAGTAGCTGGGACTACAGGCATGTGCCACCACACCCGGCTAAATTTTTTGTATTTTAGTAGAGATGGGTTTTTTGCCATGTTGGCCAGGATAGTCTCGATCTCCAGACCTCGTGATCCACCCACCTCAGCCTTCCAAAGTGCCAGGATTACAGGTGTGAGCCATGGGCCTGGCCTCCTTTGGACTTTAATTGGCCACTCTGACTCCCAGTCCCTCCCTCAGGGGGATTGGAAGCCAGGCCGTTTATCAAAGGGCTAACTTGCTCAGGAACACAGCTATGTTTCCCATAATTGCCCCAAAGGGAAGCACTAGCTATTCAAATGGCCACACCATTTCACACAAGTTTAGGTTTAAAAAAGCATGACAGGGTGACATCAAAGGCAACTAAGAAGACAAGGAACTGTTCTGCAGAAAACTTCAGTTCCCACCAGAGGCACACACTTACCATAATCACAGGTGGGCTGAGCGCTGGTGTCCGAGTATGTGGACTGCAAAGTGGTTTCGGATCCCTGGACAAAGCCTAAATATAAAGACAGTGGGGTTAATTTCCCCATGCAAGTCACAAGGAAATGACCTAACACCACCTATACCCTTTGGTATAGACTTGCTAGCAGGCCCTTCTCTCAATGAGAAGCCACCAAAACCTGTAGATTCCACCCTTTAATTAGACCTTCAGAAAAGATGAACCAATGGAAAGGCAGGCTATGTTTAACTTGCTATACCAGAAGGACTATATAAAAAATTATTTTACTTTTCAGAGACAGGGTATTGCTCTGTCACTCGGGCTGAAATGCAATGGCACAATCGTGGCTCAATGCAGCCTTGACCTTCCAGGCTCAAACAATCCTCCTGCCTCAGCCTCCCAACCTGAGACTACTGGTTCATGCCATCATGCCCAGCTAATGTTTGTAGACATGGGGTTTCATCATGTTGCCGAGACTGGTCTTGAATTCTGAGGCTCAAGCAATCCACCCTCCTGAGCCTCCCAGAGTGCTAGGATTACAGGCGTGAGCCACAGAGCCTGGCCCCAAATAAAAATTTTTAAACATTTAAGTCAGCAGCCTATTTTGATAAATGAGTACCCAAGTTATCATTCTGTTAAATGAGGAAAATATTCAAATCCCTGAAAGGTGAGCCACTTGGAATTCAAACAAGGATGGAAGTTAGTTTTAAAACCATGTTAAAGCAAATAATACCCTCTCTCCCTGCCCTAAATCTGACATACAGACTACTTTATATTTTCGTTTTCCCATTAAAAAGTGTGTATAACAATTATTTCTGGGCCCAGCACGGTGGCTCGTGCCTGTTAGCCCAGCCCTTTGGGAGGATAAGGTGAGCAGCCTGGGTAACCTTGTCTCTACAAAAAAAAAAAAAAAAAAAAAAAAAAATCCCAGCTGTGGCAGCATACGCCTGTAGTCGTAGCTACTTGGGAGGTTGAGATGGGAGTATCACTTGAGCACAGAAGGTTGAGGCTACAGTGACCTATGATTGCACCACTGCATTCCAGCCTGGGTGACAGAGTAAGACCCTGTCTCAAAAAAAAAAACCAAAAAACAATTACTTCTTAAAAGTAATTATTTGGGGTTGGCACGTTCATATGGACATAAGTATTATTATGTATACATAAAATTTCCTATCTTCTCAACTCTCAAACTATTTCTCAACATAAAATGAATTAGGGCTGGACATGGTGCCTCACGCCTGTACTCACAGTACTTTGGGAGGCCAAGAGGGGTGGATTGCTTGAGGCCAGGAATTCGAGACCAGCCTGGCCAACATGGCGAAACCCCATCTCTAGTAAAAATACAAAAACTGGCTGGGCATGGTGGCAATTCTTGGGAATCGCCAAGTTCTTGGGAGGGTGAGGCACAAGAACTGCTTGAACCCAGGAGGCAGAGATTGTAGTGAGCAGAGATCGTGCCACTGCACTCAAGCCTGGGTAACAGAGAAGGACTCCATCTCTAAATAAATAAATAAATGAAATAAAACAAAACAAGTTAGTGCCAAGTAAATAAAACTTGAAACTTTATCAGAAACCACTGCTCCTACAGCTATGATTAATCCTGATCCTGAAGCTGGCTTTAAAACTACATTAAGAAAAAACCCCAACAGCTAGAAATACATACTTTTGAATAATTTTCTCTCAACACTGAAATTATGACAGATACCATAAGAGGAAGTATTTGCCTTTCCCATCAGAGTCAATTCATGACCTGAAAATTAAAGCCTATGCCTTTAATAGCTTGTAGGCATTCTCTTATTTGTTGACATTCTCTCTCTTAAGACCACAGCAGCAGCAGCTAACACTGAACAAGTGCTTTCCCTGCAGGGTGCTAAGAACCTTTATCTGCAATGATCGCATTTCATCCTCACTACAGGCAATAGGGCAGGTGGGCAAGATCCCTTTCTCTGCAATTCCCCCAGGTCCAAAAGGGTCTGAAGACCAAGTGTTCTCCACCAATGTAGTGCCAAAATTCATGCTGGAGCCGTTTTCACCTGTGAGGACATTTACAATCTTTCTTTGTCCTACTTAGTGCAGAATTAGTGTATTTAAATACAAGGTACTTCCCCAGATCCCACGTGACTTCTCTTAAAAAGCTAAAATTCCAAAATACATCTAGCTCCAAGGTTTCCAGCTGTGAACCCAACTTCATCTTCACTTTCCAGTGGAGGGACTGGGCCCTGAGGAAGGCTAAAACCGAAGGTACACAGATCGAGTCTTCTACCTTCCCTAAGTAAAGAGGGTAGGAATCCATTCAAAAGGCCAGTAAAATGGCCTCAGACTTTAGATAATGTGGTCTATGAGTACTGCAACTGCAAATGACAGACAGCCTACCGCATCCTCACATGAATACAGCCAGCAAGCTGCTGAGCAAAACGTCAGGTGAGAGCTGCCCTGGTTCTTCCCTAGGAAGGAAAGATGATCCATCAAACCCTCTGAGATCAATGGCAATCTTAACATTCTGTTCCGTAATACTGTCTGCAAAGATGGCAGAGCAGGCTCTTCTTCAGCTAATTGTGGTTCCTATTATGAATAAATTCTTATCTGGCTTGTAAAGTGTTCTCTTGGTACAATTTATCAGCCGGACTAGCTCTGTCTGGATGAAAAAATAAAATATGCCCTATATGGCCCTATAAAGCTGTCAGATCATGGATTTCTTTCTTTCTATGTTTGTTGGAGATGGGTGGGGGAGTGGTCTTGCCCAGGCTGCAGGTCAGCGGCACAATCACTGCTCACTGTGGCCTCAGCCTCCCAGGCTCAAGCGATCCTCCTCCTTCAGTCTCCTGAGTAGCTGGGACTATAGCCACATACCACCAGGCCCGGCTAATTTTTTTGTTTGTTTGTTTGGAGAGACAGGGTCTCACTATGTTATCCATGCTGGTCTTGAATTCCTGAGCTTAAGCAATCCTCCCACTTTGAGACCATAAATTTCTAGTTCTGCAGCAGCTCTCCTTGCTTTTAGCCAATCTCTCTTGTGACAGGCATGGTGGCCTGCACCTGTAGTCACAGCTACTTGGGAGGCTGAGATGAGGTGGGAGGATCACTTGAGCACAGGAGGTAGAAGCTGCAGTGAGCTATGACTGCACCACTGTACTCCAGCCTGGGCAACATAGTGAGACCTTGTCTTAATAAAACAAAACAAAAAAGCTTATCAGTTTTATTCTTTTCCTTCTTTTTCCTTTTTTAAAAAAGAGAATAAGCCAGGCGTGGTGGCTCACACCTGTAATCCCAGCACTTTGGGAGGTCGGGGCGGGTGAAGGAGATCAAGACCATCCTGACCAACATGGTGAAACTCTGTCTCTACTAAAACACACAAAAAAACTAGCCAGGCATGGTGGCGTGCACCTGTAGTCCGGGCTACTCGGGAGGCTGAGGAAGGGAAATTGCTTTAACCCAGGAGGTAGAGGTTGCAGTGAGCTGAGATCATGCCACTGCACTTCAGCCTGGTGAGCAAGACTTTGTCTCAAAGAAAATAAAAAGTATAGGGATATACGGCCGGGCGCAGTGGCTCAGACCTGTAATCCCAGCACCTTGAGAGGCCGAGGCAGGCTCATCAAGAGGTCAGGAGTTTGAGATCAGCCTGGCCAACATGGTGAAACCCCATTTCTACTAAAAATACAAAAAAAATTGGCCAGGCACGTAATCCCAGCTACTAAAGAGACTAAGGCAGGAGAATCACTTGAATCTAGGAGGCGGAGGTTGCACCATTGCACTCCAGCCTGGGATACACAGCAAGACTTGTCTCAATAAAAAAATAAATAAAGAGTATATAGTTTTCTGAGACAGGATCTTGCTCTGATGCCCAGGCTGAAGTGGGCATGAAGTGGAGTGGCATGATCATAGCTCACTGCAACGTTGAACTCCTGGGCTCCAGCAAACCTCCCCAACTCTTGCTCTGTCATCCAGGCAGGAGCACAGCAGCACAATCATGGCTCACTGCAGCCTCCAACTTCCATAGCTAATTTTTTAATTTTAATAGAGCAAGGGTCTTGCTATGTTGCCCAGGCTCATCTTTAAACTCCTGGCCCCAAGCAATCTTCCTGCCTTGGCCTCCCAAAGTGTTGAGATTACAGGTGTGAGTGTGAGCCACCATGCCTGATCTTAAAAAAAAAAAAAAAAAAAAAAAAAGTCTTATTTGAAGGAATAACAGAGTGACAAAAATTAAAGGATAACTGGAATTAGGTTAGGTTGCCTCCAACCTCTACTGTTGGAGCCAAGAGTAGGGTGACAACCATCCTCCAAGATGGTCTCCAATAATTCTTGTCTGTTGACTTTACGTAGTCCCTTCCCAACTAATAGAGGTAGCCAGTGCAACCAATAAGGTTTATGAAAACGACGAAGTGTGACTTCTGGGATTTCTGCCTTGCTCTTTCTGGGGCCATTCAGTCTGGGGAAAACCAGCCACCATGTTGTGAGGAGCCTCCAGCAGCCAGCCCTAGGGAGATCCATGGGGCAAAGAACTAACGACCAGCATCAGTCTGCCAGGCATGGGAGTTTAAGACCTCCAGCTTCAGTCAAGCTTTCAGATGACTATAGTCCAGGCAGAGATCCTAAATATAACCTCATGATATTTCAAGCTAGAACCACCCAGCAAAATCACCTGTCCATTCCAAACATAAAGAAGCGGTGTGTACAACCAAATTTAAGATAGTAAAGTAGAAAAAAAAAAAAAAAAGCAGTGTGAGATAACAAATGTCTCTATGACAAGTATGGTAGCCTTTCAGATCTTTGTTTGAGGGCCTGATTCTGGATATTTCTGTCCTGTTTTCCACTGCTCTCCTCTTCCCCTCTCAGTGCTAGAGATGCAGCTTCCTTTCCCATGTATAGATAAAGTAACTGGGTTCAAAAACACGGCGAGTTAATAAAAAGATTTATCAATCACGTTTTATGTTTAATAATGGTAACATTTGCTTCAAGGCCTCTAAGACTTACCCCTAAAGCTGGTAGCTGTCTGAAATGTGACTTAAAATGCCTTTGACTTTAGTGCCCTACTTCTTAAAAGGGAAAGACTCACATTATAAATAACTGTGGTTTTCAGTGTATCAAAATCAAGGAAAAACTAATTACTTTATTAGCTTGGCTATCTCAGTGCTCACCCAAACCCGGAACTACCTGTACAGGCAGACAAGATCTAGAGCCGAAATTCAGGTTTGGTCATTAGTGACCCCTCTAACTCAGTTTCCTCATCTATTACTCATTCATCTTCTGGTTCCTGTTTTGTTTTGTTTGTTTGTTTGTTTGTTTGTTTTTGAGATGGATCTCACTCTGTGGCTCAGATTGGAGGGCAGTGGTGTGATCACGCTCACTGCAGTCTGTCTCAGGCTCAAGTGATCCTCCTGCCTCAACCTCCAGAGCATGCCACCAAGCCCAGCANCTCACTGCAACCTCTGTCTCCTAGGTTCAAGAGATTCTCCTGCCTCCTGTAATCCTCAGCTAGGATTACAGGCATGTGCCACCACGTCCGGTTAATTTTTTATTTTTAGTAGAGACTGGGTTTCTCCATGTTGTTCCGGCTGGTCTCAAACTCCTGACCTCGTGATCCGCCTGCCTCTGCCTCCCAAAGCGCTGGGATTACAGGCGTGAGCCACCATGCCCAGCAGCAGTCCTGTTTTTAAAAACCATGAAACTGTCTTCCAGTTCTTGGTAAGATTTGGTGAGAATTATACCCCAATCTCAGAGATGTCAGTAACAACCCTACAGTCTTTCCTCCTGAACTAGAAAAGCTACAGAAAGACTCAGGCAGAGCTGCCCAACCTGAGCACTACTGATGTTTGAGGCCAGATACTTCTTTGCGGTGGGTGTCACTGTGTATACTGTGGCATAGCAGCATCCCAGGCCTTTATCCACAAGATGCCAGCAGCATTCCCATGCCCATATGTGACAACCAAAAATGTCTCCAGACATTGCTAGATGTCCTCTGGGGGCAGAATCACCCTTGGATGAGAACCCAATGGGCTGGGGAATGGTTGCTAGAAAAACTGGAGTTCTTGGCAAGCTCTGACCTGGGAGCCAGGGTAGAAGGGACTGGCACTACTTTCTTGCCTATGCCAACATAAAGCCGCCTACAAAGAAGTTCCAGAGACTCACATTCCATTCTCAGTTCTCAACATTCCAAGTAGAATACAGGATACCTGGCAACCACACATGCTCAAGCCTGTAATACCCTCAGCAAATGGGGAGGCCTTGTCTAAGTCTCCTGGCTGAGAAGCCTTATCAGTCAGTCACTGCCAAGGCAAACCCAGGAGGCCTTGGCAATTCACCCAGTGATGATTTACAGTCGCCCAAGCATATCGCAGCGGGAGCGGGGAGAGGGGCTCTCGGATCTTATCACCCACTCTCCCTTTCAAATCCCACTGGCTTCCCTGGCTGATCTTCTAACAAGCCAGGCAGTTCCTGCCCATAAGGCTTTTACAGCAAAAGCTCCCTGGGCCAGGTGTCTTTATTCCCTCAGTCCATTTAGGTCTCTGCTCAAATGTCACCTCTTTACCGAGGGCCCCAACGACTCCATGTAGTGGAGCGACCCCCGCAGGATGCTGACCACCCTAAAATGTATCTTCAACACTTGCTTATTTGCCTATTAAGATCCGTCCTTGCCTCTAAGTTGCCAGAGGAATTCTTGTCAGTATTCCCAGTGCCCAGTCTGCACCGGACACGGTTCATTTGACAGATGTAGAGGGAATTAACGTGGAAAATTGTCATTCCTTGCAGTTAAGCCCCTAAGGGCTCAAGGCTCCCCGCTCAGCCCAAACCCTTCAAATGTTTACTTATCCCCCTAGGGCCTGGCGCCTCTCCCAGTTCTGAAATAGACAAAAGGGGGTGGTGGGTGGGATCGGGGTGGAGGTGCAGAGCTGCGGCGTTTTTGCAGAGAAACTGCGCGGGGGAGGACGCGACAATGGCGACGGTAGTCGAGCCTACTGACTCCTCGCAAGGACTAACGCCTGAGAAAGGGAGACCTAAGGCGTCGAGATCCGAGGAGCGCAGGCCAGGGACGGAGGTGGCGGAGGCGGACATCTCGTGCGCTGAGGCCCGGGACCCACGGACAAAGGCGACAGAAGCCAAGACCTCAGGCGGCCGGGAGCTGGGACGCCGACTGCAGGCACAGAGAGCTGAGGCAACGAGGCGTGAGGGGAGCGACCCTGAGGCGACGGGCCAGCGGCGCCATTTTGTGACCGCAGGGAGGGCAGTGACGGGGCCCCAGGGTAGGTGCGGGCGAGCCTGGTGTGGCATCCGTCTGTCCTTGTCCCGTCCCCCACGCAGAGCCCGACCCCACCCTCCAAGGCTCACCTGTGTAGCTCATGGCGGCGGCCAACACAACATCCGTGGACGCCGACCGCTGGTGCTCTGCACATCCAACGCTGCGATAGCGGCTGCTAACCCCAGGGTCCCCTCCACACACACAAACACACACACGCGCGCGCGCGCGCGCGCGCACACACACACACACGCCCGAAGCCCCGCCTCCCGACCGCATTGGCTCATGATGGCCTCGGCTTCACGTCTATTGGACAAAACCGCTGTCTATCTCAGCGCTTCCTCATATCAGTGGCTGGAAGCTGCTGCCAATCTCATGAGAGTCCCGCCTTGTCCCCCCTCCTTCTGTTATCCTAAGCCCTCAGTGATTGGCCTATACAAGCCGGCAGAGAGGCGGAGTCCTGTAGAGTTCGAGGGGGCGGGACTGTGCACTACGGAAAGGTCCAAGGCCCAAGCGCGGCGAGCTAGAGGAGCGTCCGTGCCCTGGAGACCCGCCAGAGGGAGCCGGGTCTACGGCTCAGGGCTTGGCTGAGATCCAGCTCCACCACCGAGGAGCTGGATAAACCTAGCTAAGTCTCTCAACTTCTCTGGCCTTCAGTTCCAAAACGAGCATAGCAAAGCCATGCTGGACTGAGAAGACTAAAACTCAGCGCCAAACAAGATGCTGAACGCACGTTCCAACGTTACATGACAAAATGTGTGTGAAGGAGTAATTCCGGTGCCATTGCACTGAATGTTATTAATCGCTTATATGTGTAATAATTCTGTTTGTATTGTGCAAAAAGCTTTTAATCCCCACCTAATAGAAAACTGAAGCTTGGAACTCATGATTTGCTCAAGGTCCTTGACAGTTACGTGTTAAAATGGGAACTTTGCTTCTAAAAAAACACTCTGGACTCGAGATCCTGCAACAGTGCAGCCGAGCACCAGTCGTGTTCTCAGCCTGTTTCCTGGGCATGTGGAAACCCCTGCCAGGGACTTCTCATAATTTCTAGAGATGACAGAGGTAAACCGAAGAGAGTACTAAACGTGTGTTTGTGAAAACTCATCAAGTTGCTCAATTACTTCTATACTTCGTTTTAAAATTTTTTTTTTCAAGGTATGCTGTTGCTTCTTGATATTGTCGATTTCTTTAGGTGTAATGGTGGCACTTAAAAAGTTCAGAGAAACATACTGAAATACTAAGAAGTTAACCGATCTTATGGCCAGGATGTGCTTCACACAATTCAGAGAGAAAAGGGGAAAGCATGGAGCTGTAAGATTAATCTCTCACAGCTTAAGACACTGGTCATGGATTGGTAATTGATTAAGGGTTCATTTTACTATTGGTGCTACTTTTGTATAGCTGGAGTTCTCCATGATAAAATGGTTTAATAAAACTCCCCCCACCCAAATGAGGCTTACGCAGAGCTTGCTGCTATGTGGAACAAAGCTACTTACGTGTTCTGAGCAACTCCACACGTGAAGCAGAGCTCTGATGGGTAAGCACTCTGACTTTGGGGTTCATCTCCGTCAGCCTCAGGGATACCTGCCTGTCTTCCAAACTAAGGCAGGGCCCCAGGACATGACTTCTGCGTCCTACAGGTTCGTTCCTTCATGGCACTTGCCACAGCCATCATTGCACCCTGATTTGATTTCATTAACATCAAACAACCTCACAGAGAGCACGGCTCAAAAGGTTCAAACTTTGCTGCCTGAGGTGCATTAAAATGGCTTGAGCAGAGAAGAGTAATGCTCAGAAAGTTTTAGGAAAACATCCCCCTGTGCTAAGAGCTGGAGGTGACTCTTTCAAGGACACACAACCCTCACTTCACAGCATGATGGGTGGAGAGGAACTTGCCATGTGACTTTATAAGCTCTCGAATCATTTGAATGTTTTTTTGTTACATCTAGCCTATACCACTTTTATATTTTAAAAACTGACTTATGGGCCAGGCATAGTGGCTCACACGTCAATCCAAGCACTTTAGGGGGCTGAGGTGGTGGAAAGCTTAAGGCTCATGAGTTTAAGACCAACCTGGGAAATATGGCGAAACCTGCATTTCTACAAAAATTATAGAACTCAGCCAGGTGTGATGGTGCACGCCTGTGATCCCAGCTACCTGGATGGCTGAGGCAGGAGAATCCCTTGAACCCAGGAGGCGGAGGCTGCAGTGAGCCAAGGTCCCACCACTGCACTCCAGCTTGGGCAACAGAATGAGACCCTATCTCAAAAAATAAAAACTAATGAAAAGTTGTAAGAGGAAGACACACCTTTGAGTCAGCTCACAAGATGCTCTCCCTGCTCCCTAAGTCTTGCATACACCCACCCACCCACAGCACAGAATGGACAGAAGTGGTTGCGGCCTTCTGCCACCAGGTAAGATGTGCATCCTGACCCCACAGGAGCATATGTGTAGACTAAGACCACCCTCGTGGGCTTGTCATTGCAGCCTGTTAACCCTCCTTCCCAGGCAGGGGTATGGTGGGAGGGCCCAGAAAGCAGGGCTGGGGGTAGAGGTGGCCCCTGCTATTCACATGCCATGAAGTCATTCCTACTTTCCTGCACTTGGCCATTTAGTGAAAACGATGAGCTGGAAAACCACATGCAATAAACAAGAAGGAGCAGCCAACGAAATCTCTTAAAATCTCAGAAATGTTCAATAAACATTTGCAGAGTGAGAAAATAAATAACATCGCAAAGAGCCAGCAGCTCCTCCTTTCCCCGCATTTCTCGAGTCGGGTGCACGTGTCTTAACTAGAAGTCACATCTTGAAAGCAGGCGAGTTCCAGCTCTCTACACCCCTGCTGGCCCCCCCAAATGCTCCCAGCGGGTCCCTGACACCCTCACTGGTAGCTGCTGCCCTTGATAAGCTCCTTCAGCCTCAACTGCTTCTTGATCCTGGCTCCCTTCCCAGACGGGCTACCCAGAACCCTGGTTTGTCTGCTCACTGTAGCCACTTGGCCAGCCAGCCAGAGCCCCCACACCAGCCATGGCATTAAAGGAACTTGGGCTCATCCCCTGCTGCATCTGGTCGGCTTGGCAGCCAACGGGAAAACCCAGGGCCTCCATGGCTCTGCACAGAGGAGGCCCCGATCCCAGTCCCGGCTGCCAGCCAATGCCAGCCTGTCCACTCGACAGAAAAACACACGCTGGCCGCCTGCCCCGGGGCGTTTCCAGAAGAGAAATTTAATCTAATTTACATACGTCTAGGTACATCAATAACCAAAATGTGGCCACTGAAAAAAGTTAAAAGGTCAATCAGCTCCCGGCTTCTAGCTGGCCCAGGATTGCAAAATAAAAAGATCCACGTTCCTTATTCTCTACACAAAACGCGTTTTTAAAAAAGTGAAAGGTCTAGGGAGCTATACATAGAAAGCAACAGTGAAAAGGGGGAGGGGGCAGGAGTGGGGGAGGAAAGTCCCACCCCCCCACCCCACCCTCCAGGGCCCCAGAGCCCCTGAGGCTCTTTGGGGGGCCTTGACATGGCAGGAGGCAGCTGTCAGCTCTGAGCTCTTCCCAGCTGGGAAGGCCCCTCTGGGGGGCAGCCCACAAGGATTTCCGTGGCATTGTGGGCTCAGTGAGGGGCTCCCAGGCCCCAGCAGGCCCCACAGAGGGAGCATGGCTTCCCCTGAGCAAGCACCGTGGCATGATGTGGTCGTTCGACCCGGGAACTGGGGGTCCGGAGCAGATCCCAGGTCTCACGAGGTGCATGTGTGTGTTCGCATGTACATGCGTGTGAGAGGATATTCATGGGGGCGAGAGTGACCCAGAACAGGGGTCTTTGGGGTCTTTGCAAATGGCCACGGATGGCAGACATCGCCCTGCCTGGCTGCTAGACGGAGGAGTGCTGTCTTCCCCTGTGACCAAATCGGCTGCCACCAGAGACCTGGTTGCTGCCCCTGCTGGACCAGGTGGGCATGGGCTGAAGGAAGACACCCTGTGGCCCCAGAGTCCTTGGGCTGGGGGAAGGGCGGCTAGCTGGCTCCCGGCGCCCTGGCTGTAGTGTGCCCGGCCCCCAAGGGGCGCCGTTTTGAGGTTTTGGCTTGCTCCTTTGGAAACAGAAAGAAAGAGGAAGAGGGATGAGGGCACAGAGGAGAGGAGACAGAGGTGGCACGAGAGGGGATCTGGAATGCTTTTGTGTTAGGGAGCCTCTGCCGCCGCTGTCTGTGCCTGCGGGGCCTGGGACTCCTCAGGTGGGGGGTCCGCTTTGGAGAAGTTCATCTCCAGGATGTGCCGCTGTAAGTGCCGCACCCACTCTTCCTGGATGGAGAGGGGCCCCTGGAATTCCACTTCACAGAACCTGCGTGAGGGAAGAGAGAGGGAGTGGCCAGTGCTGTGACGAGAGGTGGAAGCACAGCCTTGCCCATGTCCCTGGCACACCTGCTGCTACTCAGTGTGGACAGAGCAAGCCCAGGAGGTGGGAAGAAGGACCCAGAGGTCAGGTGTTTCCCATGGACAGCCACCTCCACTCACCACCACGGGGTCAGGCAGGGTCTCATAGAGACCCCTGCCTCTATGCTCAGGAAGTCACTGGTGCCAGGTAAGGGCTACCCGGCTTCCAGGTCCTCCTGCCATCTGACAGATACATAGAATCTGAGACAGTAGAGGGCACAGAGAAGCAAGTCTTACCCAACGAGCCAGGCCCCCCTCCTCCTCCTGTCTTCCTGGCACCTAAAGAGGCCTCACAGCACAGAGGCCTGGAGCCCAGGCTCCATGGCTCGACTTGGGTTTGACTCTGACTTCTGACTTGGCCTGTGTGGCCTCAGGCAAGTCACCTCAAGTCTCAGGGTCCCAGTTCCCTCCTCTCCAATGTACTTGTGGACTCTGGTAAGAATTAACTAAGATCTACTTTTTTCTTGAGCCAGACACTAGTTAAGTGCTTACTTACCACGTGCCAGGCAGTTCTGAGTGCTTTATAAATATTAAATTCACTTAGTCCTCGTAACAAATCTGTAAGGTAGGTTTGTTATCACCTGCTTTTATGAGTGGGGAAATTGAGGTAAGGAGCAGGTAAGTCCTTCTCTGAGGTCACTAAGCTAGTAAGTGGCAGAGTTGGGATTTGAACCCAGGTCTCCCGGGCTACCAAGCTCAGGATGTCAGCCGTTAGCCTGGGCCCTACCACACCCAAGGGCAGCCACTGAGGCGACACCTCCCAGCTCCCACCAGACCCTGTCC